GAAATCCTGGTGGTTCAGTCCCTTATATGATGTACACATATCTAGCCCTAAATTTCCCTCTTCTTAAACCTCTGAATTTGTGACCATTGATCCAAATTGTTGACTTTCCGACCGTTCTTAATATGTCTAAACCTTAATCTCTACCATTCCATACTCTGTTGCTCCTCCTCCTTCCCGCCTCCCCATTAGTTACAGACACCCCTGGAAATCATCTATTTACAGACATTTGTGATGGTACTGAGGACTAAAGAAAGCAACAGGTCAAACTCAGGTGTTTGGGAGTGAAGCTAACTGTCAGCAACCAATTTTGAAATGCTATACAATTAAATTTCTTTCTTAATACGTAAAAATTTTAAAATCATCATCACAAGTCCCACTGTAATCTCGTTTAGCATAGAAATAATCATAGGAAGGGAAGAAAATGCGCAACGAATCTTTTCTTTTTTAAAGAGGAAGATCTCCATAGGAATATTTTTATTTACTTGGAAAATACAAAACCTAAGTAGACTATACCAGAAGAAAATGAGAGCACTCGGCTTTCTGAAGCTACAGACATGAAGAGCGCATGGGATTTAAAAACCCTTCCGTCAAGGTCAATAAGCAATTGATTTTTTTTTTTTTTTCAGTTATAGCTTAATTCAACCAAATATTTCTTGGAAACTCTTTATGCAGCAAGATTCACCAATATATATTTTCCATGACTCAGAAATAAGGGAAGCAAGTGGTCATTAATTTAGCAAATACCTGTAAATACTACATTCCATAATTACTCTTGATGAAAATGTTACCAGGATGTCCCCAGCAGGGTAAACATTATATTCAGCACAAACCGATTTCACCTATTTAATTTGTTCAGATAATTGTAGTACATGATGAGAACTCACTGATGATTGACATTAGGTATAATCCTTAAAGTAAAAAAATACATGTTTTAAGATCTATACCCCCAGACCTATTCTAAACTTAATGTAAATCAAGATTGTCTAACATAACTGGGCTATTTCAACCATCTGCAGGCCAGAGTAGAGTAAGACTTATATAACTAACCAATTAATGCAGATACTCTGTCTTTTGCAGTAGGCACAAACTAAAATAAACTCTTTTGATCCAATCACTCCTTCACGAAAATCTCAAAAGGTCCCTAAAGTGATCTCTACCCACATACCAATTTCACGATTAATACAATTTGCATTTAACCTATATTTGATGCAAGGTTATTACGTATTTCAGAATAAGCTTTCCATAAAAATGTAGAAGCATTTGATAATATAGTGAAAGTGGTCAGACTAAAATATCTGTAACACAGACAGAACCAAAATAGCATTATAAATTTAAATTATCTTGCCAATTATAAAAATATAAGGGGACTGGCCAAAGAAACATCTTAAGAAGTGATTTCAATAAAATCTGATCACATGCTAGTCACACATTTCTGTATTAGTCATTCAACACTAAATTGACACACCTGAATACACAGTGTTTTCAAAGTTTCCTTAGCGATCATATAGTCATAACAAAGTATAGATATTTAAAAAAAAGATTCTTACCATAAAGCTAAAAATAAGTAAATAAATAAGACCCCAAATAAAATCTCCTTCAACCTTCCAAAATCACTTAATTTAGTGAAAATAAGATATAGTAAGCTTTAAAGACATGGAAACATCCCTTGCCAGAACCTTTAGTAGGAAAGGAAAAATAAAATGGAAAGAAAGTCTCCATTAAAAAGGGGGTAAATCATTGTCAAAACAAAAATAAAAAATCTCTTTATGTAAATTTTTTTGGAGAAAACATTCAACATGTTAGTAAGAAAAATAAGAAAGGGACAGAATTTGTCTCACTCTGTGTTTGTACAGGTCTTCAACTTCATTAATTTTAGAAAAATTAGACACAGATGTGGTTAATGAGAGACGTTAAAAACTCCATAAATTTCAGTCACTTTATTAAGCGCCAATCATCAAAACCCTAGACTCCACCTAAGACTCAACTGACAAGTTCATCCTGCATCACTTTCTCTCCAGTAATCCCACCCTTCAGGAAACAGACTTTTTAAAACGCTAAAATTTCTATATAATCCTAATAAAATCTCTAATTCCACTTAAAACTATTTCCTTTTCTCTATGTCTTTTTGGCTGAAGAAAAGAAAATGCTAAAGTAACACAATGATGAAGATCAAATTATGCAAAAATATGCCTTCTCTGATGTTATCAGTTTATGCTAACCTTACTGAATTTCGGTATTTAAAAAAGCATAAAGTTAGAATGTCTAGTTAATTGTACTTCAAAATGGACTCAAGCATCGGTCAGCTTTCCATTGTTTTACTGTCAATAAATTTAAACCCTAAAAAAAAAAAAAGCTTTACCATGCTCCATTACAACATTCAGAATTTTATAATTTAGTAGGACAACTCTAGGTTGTGGTACATGTTGACACATCTGAAGAACTTGCCTTTGGCCAGAGAATAAGGTGTGTTTTTTTGTTTGTTTATTTTTAAGCATTCTCATAAACAGCAATTTCAGGTTGCATTTTAAAAAGTCAAATTACGATTTATGCTATTTTTTAAAAAATTGATGCTTTTTTTAATTTAAAAAGAATTCAAGTGATGTTATCAGTGGCATTTAATATTTTTACATCTAAAGTCAGAAAGTCAGTATTCAATCACGTTGTGGTCTCAAAGCGTGGATTTATTTGCTGATCACTCAGGATCACTGATCACAGCTGCTGTTTGGCTAGAATCGTGTAACATACAGAGAAGAGAAAGCAGCCAATGTTTAGTTACATCAAGGCTGTTGTTTGTAAAAAATACACTAATTCAATGATGATTTTAAAAGAAACATGGTTTCTATTTATTTGGGTGAAGCTTCCTTCAAGATAATCACAGTTCCCAGTGTTAAGTTAATGACTTGAGGTAAAAAATTTTCAAACATTAGCGAATGATCCTGTACAAGGTATTAGGCCTTTTTGTCAGGCAGGACACAGACTAGTGATAATAATTCCAAATCACACACTGGCATAAAAATAATAATTTCATTGGATATTAAAAAACTAATTCTAAAGAGCCACATCATCGCCTCACCTATTTCCATAAGGTTGTTATAAGGCATGCCATATGTCACAAGGGACTGCAAAAGTTAAAGTATTATTTATCGTTAATGATTTAGGGTAACTATGATGTTCACCGACAACTCCATATCCTAGATTTTAGAGGGTTTAAGGACAGTTCACGGTGAATGAAAAATGAGTTTTTTTCCATGCCTTTTTTTAACAGTAAGGAAAATCAAAACAACAACATGGGCTCTATCAGAACAAAATGCATTAATAATCCCTACACATTTCCTAAAATGTAGTATCTTTCTTTGTACCAGTTTTGTTTTATAAATCAATGTGCTGGTATCCTATAAGATAGCTTAATCAAACGGACCCTACTTAACTGTTAAGAAAACAAGCACATGAATTCCACTGCCAAAAATGTGAGACTGAAAAATTTAAAACACAGCATGTCTTTTAATATTCAAACACAACAGCTTATGCAATAAGAAACATCTCAAATCTCCTTACTGAAAACATTTTAAATCTTCAGTTCAGAAAGACAATAATAAAAAATTGTCTTCTTCCAAGATAATTATTATTTAAATAATAGATTAGTAGGAAGTTTGCATCAAGACAAGAACCGAGCTTTTTTTTTTTTTTTTTTTTCCTTTTGGTCATAACTAAGCCTTTTAGAAGAATAGGACATAGCCTAAAACCACATCTAAATTTTTTTTCCTAAAAAGAAAAGGTTCCCGGGTAAAAAGGAAAAAAAAAAGACATACCTCAGTGTAGAATACCTTTCACAGAAAAAGTATTTTAAAGAGTTTAAGCTCAATGACAAATTGTCACTAACATTTAAGAAAAAATCTGAAATGGTTACATACAAATAAATCACTGTGTGATTTTTTTCCAAAAAAAAAAAAAAAAGCACCACTGGTGACAGTCATCTCTTGTCACTCACTACAATCCACATTTTTCTATTTTCCTCACACTTAAAAAGGATGTACAGTCTAGCACTTATCTGAATTGGGGATGGGGGAGAATAAGGTAAATATCTGAACTGGGTATGGGGGAGGATAAAGTAAAGAACTTAACCTGTACCAACAGAGATATCTAAATTTAGGATTTTTTCTGGTAATCCATCTTGATGAGGTCAGACAGAAATGTCAGTGTACTTAACACACAACTGAGTAAAAAGAAGAGAGGAACCAAACAAGCACTGAGAATTGAATCTTAACAATTTGGGCCATCAGTTACCTACTTCAGAACTTACAGGAACATCTGAAAGTAAAATTTTGTTTTGCACCATGTTGCCACTAATTTCTTTCTTACAAAGACTTATCGGAGGGCACAGCTGATCTACTTCAAATTGGGAACCCTGAGAGCAAGACCCGTGTCTGATACCAAGGTTTGGGGCACTGTTCACCAGGCTGCTACAGCAGTCTCAGAACTCAAATTCTTCCACAGAAGGTTCAGTTTGAAGAACTGGGCTTCTTGTCAGTACTTTTAACTTTTAACCCTTTAGTCTCATACCAACACTTCACAGATGCCAAATATAGCAGTACAACTTCTAATTATGTAATTAAAAGTATTTTTTATTATAATGCAAGAGCATATTCTAAAACAGCTACATGAAAATACACAAAAATATATTACCACATTCCACTCACTTGAATTTATACAATCTATACTTCAGAGATCTGTTAATATCTGAGCAATATTATTTTAAAGTTTTTAATGAGATGTTGACTACTGGCTAAGGGGATACTGAATCCCACTAGTTAAGGAAAAAAACCTGAAGTGATTATATATAAATTACATTGTCTATAATGTCTACATTCAAAAGACCACTTTAACTGACTCACATAAAAAAGCACATGTATCTCTAGAGAACAGATACAAAAAAAAGTTTCCTATCTATTAACCCATCTCAAATGTATAATTTTTAAGAAACAAAAAAGTATTAATCTTACCTTGAATAGCCGTTAGAAAAAGCTGATCGACCAGGGAAGTTCAAAGTCCCCAAGGGAGTCAAGGTGTCATCTCCAGATCCTTGGCACCTATTCCAATTTTCGGAACCAACAGGAATTGGTGGAATGACATTAAAAATAGGCTTCTGATCCTGCTGTTGAGAAAGGGATGCTGTATTCATGTCATAGTGGTACATCTGTCCTCCAGACGTACTCACACCATGAACAGAAATGGCAGACGTTTTATTACCAATTATGTTTGCCCCAGAAAAGTTTGCCTGACAGTAAACTGGGCCTAATTTCTCCTGCTTAATTACACCAGGGGTGCAGAGTTCAATGAAATCTTCTTTTTCTGTTTTCACTTGGGGCAGTGGTACACTGTTAGGGCTTGATAAGATCAGATCTCCATTATCCTTAATTTTAGGCTTAGTGTCTGGTAAAATGAGAGGCTTACAGTCCTCATTTGAGTTTCCTTCCAAAAGGAATGGATCATCATCTCCTTCCAAAGGAGAAAGCAAACAGTTTTCATCTATTAACAGGTCTGATCTCCATGGACTCTCGTTCGTCTCTTTACCTGGGGATCCAGAAGAAAACTCCAAATCCTGCAAAATGTCCAAGGTGCTTTGGTCTGTGGCATACAATTTCACATTGCCACCATTGGTACCAGTCTGGCCCTTCAGATTTTGCTGCTCTGAAGCTATATCAGAGAGAGTTTTTTGACAGTCCTTCTCTGTAGGGGCAGAAGCAGCAGCAGATGCTGAACTCTTGGGCTCCTCAGGAACACTGGTCGACCTACTGAGGTTTGCGATGCTTTCTTCCAGGAGCCGAAAGTCTGTTTCCCCAGAGGAAAGGCTGATTTGGCCCTGCTGTGGAAATCCCAGGTCATTTCCCATCACTTTTGTTTCTGGCTCTCCCATATACAGTCCCATTGAGAGTGAAACTGCTTTGGACAGATCCGGCTGCTGGACATTGCTTACTGAGCCCTTCGGAAAATCAACCAAAAGTCTCTGCTGCTTGGAGTCTGATTGAGAAGGAATAGCCAGTGAGGGTGAAGATGCAGAAACCTTCGCAGTGGCTCCTCCCCTTAGGGTTTTATAGAAATCCATCACATTTCCCCTCTCCTGACTGAGCACACCGCTGGGGACTTCTTCTCTACTGGGAGGAGTTAATGATTCTTTGGAGTCCATATGTTAGTATCAGCTACAAAAAAAAAGGGGGGGGGGACACAGTGAGCTCTAAAGTCATATTATCTCTGTGATCCAATTAGTAAGAGATGCCCTGTTAAATGAACCTTTTAGTTAATTCCGAATCAAATTCTTTGTTATCAGAAGAGTAGTTTCTATCCTCCGGAATAAAAAGCCACGTCTCCTGCTCCCATTCAACGTGCCACATTTAAAAGTACAATGTAGTCCATTTGCACAGCTGAGGATGAAATTGGTCTCCACTAAGCTGGGCTATTCATCCTGCCACTAGTTGAACTCATAGCTTTGTTAATTACAGACATTATAATTCATTACATCTGATTATTCTAAAGGTTCAAGTTGTGTCAAAGTATTTAATTTTTTAAAAAGTGTGATCATTAAAATTCCTACCTTTTTCAATTGAGGCTGTTTGCTTTTCTAAGAACCAATACATATAACACTTTGTAAATACTATACTAGAATTTTCAACCCCCAATTATTTCTAAATTCCCCTCCTACCAGCTAAGTCACATAGGCAGCCTTTTAAGTACAACCTATTGTTGAACCACGCACATTTTATTTGAAAAATAAACAGTGCTGATCTGCTTATCTCATTTTTAACCCATATTCCTGACTTTGCTATGCCAGTCTGATGGTGCCTATCTTCAAATTTTGGATATATAAAATGAGATGCATTGTATATAGCACAACTAAAATTTTAATTTAAAAAATAAAAGAACGTGTAGTAACTTCTCACCACAATTTTAGCTTATTTAAATTTATCTTAAATATCGCTGTCTGAATCCTTAGCATAACTCGCAATAACATCCAGATTAGGCTGCATTTATTTTTTTAATTGGTTGAGATCCTCGCTATAAAATACTATTATATATTTATTACTATAAGTTCTTTCCTTCCCAAATACTCTAGTACTCAAACGTAGAAAAACCCAGAACTGTAAAATTACATTCTCATAGGTCAAAGTAAAACAGTGTCCAGTAAAATGCTCAGAATCACTCTCTGTGCACTCTAACTCTTCACCTATCCCAATTAGGAGCCTATTTTCAAGAGAATTCGGTTGCTAGTATATCGCTAAAAATCGGGATGTTTTAAGAGACGGGCGAAGACTTTGACAAGCACATTTGGGATATTATAGTCAAATGCCATCCAATAAAAGGAAACTCTTCCTATATGGTAACACTAAAAAGCATAAATGCCCCTGGCCCTCACCGAAAGGTGAAGGTGATGAAGGTGGACCGAGGGGTGGGGAAACTATCACTACGAATCTTCAGGGTAACTGCTCATCTCCTCACTCTCCACTGTTTATCTGACAGCGATCTCTAAACACAAGGTATCAAATGGAGACTAATGAATTTCCACGCCGCTTTTTTGACAGCTGCCTTCAAACCCGAAACCAAAACAATACTTTCTAAAACGAAACGCTCCCTCGGGCGACATTATCCCCCAGTTTAGCAAATAACCCTGCCACTCTAATGGGCTCCAACGAACCATGCCAAGGGGTCTTATGTAGTATTACAAGGCTGCAGTTATCAAGTCTGCAACCTCAAACGTCAAACTAGCGCTTGGTAAAAATCGCAGCACCAAACTCTTACGGTCAGGGAATGTCTTTTTTTAAAAGGGGCGACTTAATTTCAGGCTCGAAATGATGCCAAACACGAAAAAAAAAAAAAAAAGCCCTTGGGGTGGGGGGAGAAAAAAAGTGCGAGGTTAGAAAAGAAATGTGCCCAGACCTGTTGAGTTCTCCCTCCGACACGCCCACTTGTACCAGATAACGCGAGCCCCGGCCGAAGTCTCCGAGTCGCAGGCTGTCACCCTCGCGTGTGTCCACTCACACCCCCCACACGCCCGCCCGCAGCCAGGCGCGCGGCGGTCCCGACAGCGGCCCCGACCGCGCTCGGGCGCGCCAGGGTGGAGGGAAACATTCGGGCGCCGAGACTTCAGACGCGGCTTAGCGTTCACCAGAAAAATGGTTGTCAGGGTGGCCCCGGGGGCGGGGGGAGAAAGGGCGACTTGGGGAAAAAAGAACAGACCAGGGTTCCCGCCTGGAAACGAGAGGCTTGAAACGCCCCGGCAGCCCGCAAGGCTCCCCGGGCAGTCCGAGCTCAGGTTCCTCCCCCTCGGCTCCGCCGGGGGACGGCAGCGGAGGGAGAGGAAGAGGCCAGCGCTGTCACCCGCGCGCTGCCCTTTCGTCACCGTCACCCGGCCCTCGCCACCCCCAACCCCCACTCCCGGAGGCTAATAAAAGTTTGCAGGCTCCCGCCGCGGCCCCCGACTCGGCCTCCGGTGCCCACGGCACCTCGGGGAGCGAGCCCCCGCCTCTTACCTCTGCCAGCGGCGCCGCTCACCCGCCACCGTCCGCAGCTCCCACCGCAGCCGAGATAAACAACTTAGCGTGTGAAAGCAGGAGGAGCAGGAGGGAAATATTTTTTTCTAAAAAAAGGAAGTAAACAGCCGCCCCCTTCTCCATGGGGGGAGGGGAGAGCCCCTATTTAAGAAAGTCTCCCATTTCCCAACTGACAGGCCAGCCCTCCGCCCCTCTCCCTTCCCAGTCCGCAGGTCCGGGCTCCCGGGCGCGCGTCCCCTGTCCCGGCGTTTCGGCCGCTCCGGTAGCCGCGTCTCCTTCCACCCACTGAATCCGTCCCCGACGGGCGGGCGGTGACTCCACTCGGGCTCCAGTCACAGACACGAGCTCGCAAAATGGAGGAGGAGGCGGCGGCGGAGGGCAGGGAGCGCGGAGCAGCGAAAGGGCAGCCCGGCCTGGGCGGGCGAGCGAGCGGGACCGAGCGGGGGGCGGGTGGAGGCGGCGCCACGGCGCGCACACACTCGCACACACGCGCTCCCACTCCACCCCCGGCCGCTCCCCGCCCGAGGGGCCGCGCGGCGGCCGCGGGGAACGGTGCAACCTGTTGGCGACGCTTGGCAACTGCAGGGGCGCCCGCAGCCCCCGCCCTCGCGCCGTCCGCGCGGGCCCCGCCACCCGGGTCCCGACGGCGCCTGCACGCCCGCGACCCTAGGCATTGCCGCCCGCTAGGCGCGCGGGGCTTCTCCTCGTCCCCCAGCCCAGAAGAAAGAAAGTGAGGCGGAGGCGGGGGCGGACCTGGTCTCTTTGGGGCGCTTTGGAGAGGGAGACCGAGTTTCTCTAGTTTCTCTTCTCGCAGACTGCTTCCCGCCCCCGCCCAGCTCCGCGGCTCAGGACCCACTCTGGAGCTCGCCTTATCCCTCGGCGGTAACCTCCGCCAGCGCCCCCGCGGGTGACAGCGCGCGGGCTAGGACAGCCGGGGCGCTGCCCGCAGCAGTGCTGCGGGGTGGTCCGCGCCGCCGCCCCAGGCCGAGTTGCGTGAAGTGTGTCACTTCAAAAGGGACTACGGGGTTGCACAGAAACGGTGCCGCAGCCTCCCGGCCCATCTTGGGAGCTGGTCGGCCAGACACGCCCTCTGGGGAAGCTTAAGGGAGGGAGGGTAGAAGTGGGGGTCAGCGCATACGTACTCTGGGCCGGGGGGAGTTGCGTGCTGGCAGGTCCCCCACCCCCGCATCGTCTGGGCTGCCCGATCTGCAGCCGTCGCCGCCGCGCTCTCGCACCCGCAGAGAAGTTGCAAAGCAGAACCCACCCTCCCCCGCGCTCCGACCGTCCCCCACCCTCTTCCCTCGAGTCTGCTAGGCGGCGGCGGCGGCAGAAGGAGGAGCCGCCTGCCAAGTTTAACCCCCACCCCTCCTTCACTCCCTCCCGGCGCGCTCACACTCGAAGGAAGTTGCACGCCAAATGCAAAACCTCCAGCGAGCTGGATTTCTTTGCACTTCTTTATTATGATTAAGAAAGCAGGGGATGACAGGCCTAAAAGCAAGTTGCAGGAGACACAGTAAGTTGCTGGCTAAGAGTCCTCCCCTCACCGCAAACTCCTGACCTCCCTTTCCACCCCCACCAAGGCAGACGTCCAAGTTCCCGGTGAGGCCCCTTCCCCGAATCTTGACATTTGCAACCCTGGACTCAAATCGTAGCTCACCCTATCGCGTTCGTCAGACCCCCGCCCCTCCAAATAAAACAAAACACACGCAGCTTTAAAATGTCAGCGTTAAACTCTCTCCAGCTGTTTGTTTCGCGCCTCCCCCAGTCCGAGGGAAACACGTGGCCCATCCCCAAAGAGAGGAGTGGGGTGTGGGGAGAGGGGTGACCGCGCGGGTTGCCCCCGCCCCAGCCACCTTCCCCAGCTCGCCGCGTCCGGAAGGCTTGGGCGATCCCAGGACGGAGCCTCCTACCTTGTGCGGTACATATTATGATTTTTGTGACTCGGGGAAAGGTTGTGCGGTGTTGCTTTAGGGTTTGAGGAGGTAACTTTTGCGCCCCCACAGGTGACAGCTCTTGCCAGCTACTGACAGGGGCGGGGGCTGCCGCTGCTCCACCCAGTCCCTGCCCGGGGCTCGGCGGCAGCCACTCTCGCTCCTCCCGCGGCGCTCGCACTCTGATGGTAGCCGCCTCCACTCTGACATCTAGTAGACGATTGGGGAAACGCGTGCCGGAAGCCTTCCGCCGCCATCTTGGTAGAGGACGGTGACGCCAGGCCGGCCCCGCGGCCACCATCTTGGCAGGGGTTCTCGGTCACGGGGTATCCTAAATCGCCCTTTCTAGGGTCTGAAGGATAAACTCTGCCCTAGGCCTTGTAAGATATGAAAGGAAAGAACTGGGCTTTCAGTAACCCCCTAGTCTGGAGATGATCTATGGCGGGCCTCCTCCGGTGAAATTCTGCAGCCGCCATCTTGGCAAAGGAAGAGAAGTTGGCTGCCTGGCAAAGGAAAAAGGTACCAAAGCCTAAGCCAACGTAGAACCTTAGGCCAGAAGAATTTTTATGAAGGGCACTGATCACCTCCCTGTTTACAACACTCCCTTCTGGATCCAGAAGAGAGGCTCCTCTTCTATCTCTTGGCGCACGTCAACCAGGAGGCCCTTGTTATGGTGGATGCTGTGAGACCCTGTGGACGCTACTTTGCCTACTTGCAAGTTTTTCAGACTTCTGAGTCTTGAGCATTAGAATCAGATGTCTCGCACGGATTCGATCCCTAAACTACCAGCAGTTTCATAGGAAAAAACATGAAGACCCAACCCTACAATAATTTGTTACATGTTTTAGAAGTGAGTTAGATAATTATGCAAATAGTTGTCCTTGTACATCTATCTGCTTAAAAGAACTAAGAATTCTGTTAACATATATAGGTATACCTACAATCATCTAGTAGATATCTTTTTCTTGTACCATCAACCTATTTAACTGCTGAATTTCTGCTCTGAGAAAAGAATCCACCTCATTTCTCACTCTCATACACACCCAAATTCTAAGTGATTGATAGGTACCCTTTGCTTTAATTTATGATTTTTCAAGAGTCCTCATTAACACTCTCTCCCATATTTTCCTGCAGATACAGCAAATCTTAATACGGAGAAATACTCATAGTTTTAAAATTAAAAATGTCATTGAAAACAATTAATTGAGAAAAATATGCAATTTTCCTAAACGTTTTCTTTAGTGATATGCCTGTTAATTTTTAAATTTGACAGAAAAGAGTTCCCATTCTTTAGTCTTTCACATAAACTGTAAATTAATTAACTCATGTCTCTTTTTAAGACTAATAAGAATAGTTATGATTTATGGCCTACATTTGACATTTACAGTCAACAGTTGAATGAGATCTTATTTGATTTTGCAATATGAAAAAACTGGGTAGTACTGTGGCTCAAAGGAGTAGGACACTGGCCCCATATGCCAGAGGTGGGGGGTTCAAACCCAGCCCCAGCCAAAAACTGAAGGAAAAAAAAAAAGAAAGAAAGAAAGAAAAAAAGAAAGCAATATGAAAAAAACTGAGTTTTACAGAGGTTGATGCTTGTGTAAATTAACCCAGCTCCTATATATTTAGAATGAAATTAGACAATAATAAAGAGGTTTTCCTCATTGATGTCTTAATTTCCATGAAGCAGTATATCAATCCTGTGATAGACTTACAATAAACACTTACGGAATTTAATTCAAGAGGTGATATCCAGTGTACTGGAAAGGACATGAGATTTTCATTGTAACAATAACACAGATCTAACAAAAGTTAACATTTATTGAGCATGTACTGTCCAGCAAGCACTACCAAAAGTGTTTAATGCCCAATGTCTGAAGTCTTCAGGTATAACATTTACTAATCTGTAACATTTATCTAATCTTGTAATTACAAGATAAGAAATAAGATGAATTGCCATGTGAGGGGGAATGAATGAAGGTGAGGCATTCAAACTCTGTCAAGGCAAGGATCTGATCTGGCTTGTTGAGGGCAGTTATGTACTGGTCCTGGAACAAAGCCTACTACATAGTAGGCACTCAGCGGATATTTGCAGGGTTGTAATAACACTGAGTCAATGAGTTGACTAAATGCAACATTTTTACTAGGTCATTGTGGTGGCCAAATGAATTAATAAAAAGTGTGCTAATAGTACTCGGGATCCTCATGTTTGTTGTCTTGGGTTTAAACATCTGAGTGCTGTAATTAAAAAAAATATTAACAGATCAGATCCATTATTGTATGTTCCTACAGAACCCCATACATGTATGTTACTTGGGTAGCACATTACAGTGATAATTTGTTACTTGTGTATGCATTTATTTAAATTTCTGTCTCCCTCACTAGAACACAAGCTCTGGGAAGGCAGGTACTAAGCTTGTTTGTTCACCACTGTATCAGTTGTGCATAGTGGTGTTTGTTGAATAAATGGGTATAATCTTAGGGACTGTGTCCTAAGGCCAAGAAAACCTTGAGCTTGAATAGTGACCAATCCACCTTTTAAAAAACATTTATATAGTAATGAATTATCCAAGTGAGTTTTCTCCTTCTGTTCATCTCTTTTATGATCTCCATTTTCTCTAAAATGATACAAGCTGCACCGCCAGATTACCCCTGCAAAACATCAGTTAAATCCTACCATGATTAATTATTCAAGTACATGTATATATTCCAGTATTACTTAGATCCCAACTTTTAGTCTGCCACGTGTATTTAAGAATATCGCCTTTTACCTGCCCCTTTGTAAGAAGATGAAGCCACCTACCTGATATGATTGGACTGTATATTAGACTATTTATGCTGCTATGAAAGAATACCCGAGGGTGGGTAAATATAAAGAAAAGAGATTTGGCAAGGTGAAGTGGCTCATACCTGTAATCCCAGTGCTTTGGGAGGCCAAGGCAGGAAGATCACTTGAGGCTAGGAGTTTGAGGGCCCATCTTTACCAAAAAAAATCATGAAATTAGCTAGCCATGATGGCACATCCATGTAGTCATGGCTCCTTGGGAGGATAAGCTGGGAGAATCACAAGAAGACAAGAGTTTGAGGTTACAGTGAGCTAGGACCATGCCATTGTTCCAACCTAGGCAATAAAGTGTGATCCTGTCCAAAAAAAAAAAAAAAATGGAAATGTGTATTTAGCTCATGGGTCTGTAGGCTGTACAAGAATTCTGGTGCCACCTTATGATTCTGGTAAGGGCTTCAAGCTGCTTCCACTCAATGGTGGAAGGCAAAAGTGAGCCAGCTTGTACCAATCACATGGGGGTGGGGAAGCAGGGGAAGGAGGTGTCTAGCTATTTTTAACAGCTCTCTTGAAAACTAATAGCAGGGGTCCTCAAACTTTTTAAACAGGGGGTCAGTTCACTGTCCCTCAGATCATTGGAGGGCAGGACTGTGGGCCCCGGACGAGTCGGCTGCTAAGCAGGACACCTGCAGGTCGGATAAATGTCCTAGGCGGGCTGCATGTGGCCGACGGGCCGTGGTTTGAGGACACTTGACTAACAGA